ATTAGTTTGTTCAGTTTCTAAAACCCACATGGTAGCTCATAGCCATCTAGAAGTGTGGTTCCAGGGGGTCCAATGATTTCTTCTGTCCCCAGAAGGCAGCATGCATGCATGTGGTGCACACACATATATACAGGGAAAACACTCATGCACATAAAATCAAGTAAATCTAATCCTAAAAAGTGGACCATGGAACTAAACAGAGAGCTCTTAAAAGAAGACATACAGATGGCTAGTAAACATTTTAAAAATACTCAATAGCCTAAGCTATCAGGGAAATACAGATTAAAACTACTTTGAGATCCATTCCACCCCAGTCAGAATAGCTACCATCAAGAAAACAAAGGACAGCAAATGTTGGGAGGATGTGTGGAAATGCGAATGCTTATCCAAGGTTGGTGGGAGTGTAAATTGGTGCAGTCACTATGGAAATCAGTGTGGAGATTTTTAAAAAAACTAAAAACAGATCTACCATATGATCCAGCTATACCACTCCTGGGCATATACCCAAAGGACTCTATGTACTCCTACAGAGACACTTGTGCATCCGAGTTCACTGCTGCTTTACTCATGAGAGCTAGGAAATAGACCAGCCTAATGTCCACCAATTGAAAAGTGGATAATGAAAATGTGATATATACACACATTTTGTCCAGGTGTAAAGAAAAATGAAATGATTTGCAGGAAAATAGATGAAAACAGAAAATACTAAGTGAGATAACTTTGGCCCAGCAAGACTAATGCAGGTGTCTTTGAGTCATTTCTGCTCCTGTATCTTTATCGAAGAACCTGCACCTTCTCTGTCATTGCTTCCTTCTCTGGGGTGAACAGATGTCTGCTCACATCTCCCTAGAAATATCACACAATGAGAAAGCTATGTTGACTCCACTAGCTATGTACCATACTGATCCAGGCCCACCTTTATGTGACTACTGCAAAAATTAAGGAAAGGCATTTCCTGTCACCAGCTATTTAAAATACACTAATGGGAGCTGGAGAGATTGCTTATCAGGAGTGCTTACTGCCCGTCCAGATGATGATCCAAGTTTCCCAAGACTCACATGGGTAGTTTACAAGCACCTGTAGTTCCAGCCCCAGGGAATTTGACACCCTCTTCTGTTCTTTGAGGGCATTTGTACACACATGTCATATACATACACACAAATAAGAAAAAAAGTCTAAAACAAACACCACCACCCCCCAAAAAAAGACCTTTAGCTATCAATAAGAAGGCTCAACAAATAAAGGCATTTGTTCTGCAAGCCTGGCTACCTGAGTTCAATCCCCATGTAATTGAAGGAGAGAACCAATTCCACAATGCCATCCTCTAGCTTCCACACATTTCTTATACACCATAAAAAATTCACTACTTTAAAACACTGGGGATGCAGTCCAGCGGTAGAGTGCTTCTCTACTAAGCACAAAGCACTGGGCTTGGTCCAAGCATCATAGGGAGAGATAACAGGAAGGAACTCAAACCAGAGAATGTGGACAAAGAAAACTGACATTTTTACAGGACATTAAAAATTGGGTCCTCCTGGGAGGGGGGATCCTCCCTTTTGTTCTTAGTTAGACATACATAAAGAAGTTATGTATGTTAAGTTGGTGAAAATTAGTACATGTATTAAAAATAAATGCCAGGTTGACTATACTGACTATATTAACTATACTGGTATAAAATCATAGAACATAAATTTCCCTTTGCATTAAGTTACTGAGAATCAGAGCTAGAACTGGTCAGTATCTCTATATAGTGGGAAAAAACACAAAACAAAACTACCACAAAGACTTTGCTTGAAGCTTTAAGTTCAGTCTCTAGCATTACAAAACAACTACCTGTATACACAGTATTGATGCAACATTTAATACCTCATCTAGGAAAAAGGAACAAAAAAATCCCACTCAAACCAACAGTAATGTGTTCTATCTATTTCACAGTTCTTGTTACCTATTACTTTACAATCTTGGGGTAATAACTGTATAGTCTCCCTCCCTAGAGAAATACAGTCTCAGGTCCTTGGAAGGCTTGAGGCAGGGATAATGAACTAGTGTCAAGAGAGCCTGGAGATAGTTGGGCGGTGGCTGTGCATGCCTTTAAATCCCAGTACTCGGGAGGCAGAGGCAGGCGGATCTCTGTGAGTTCGAGGCTAGTCTGGTCTACAAAGCTACACAGAGAAACCCTGTCTTGAAAACCAAGGGGAAAACAAAACAAAACAAAACAAACAAAAACAAAACAGTGCTTCCTG